ATGATTTTGTATTTACCTCCATTGTTGAGAGACTTCAAGAGGGCAAGATTTCTTTCATTGTGCTCTGACATCTTTTAGTTCCAGCCGTACAAAGGCTCAATGTTAAAGCCTTATCTGATAATGCAGATGTTAACTCTGCCCCCATCTCTGATGAGGCAGTGGGCACCTACAGATGACACATGGCAGCCCAGGACAGGCCTGTCCATGCCAGGTTTCTCTTATCATCTCATCTGGGCAGCCCTATGCCACTTCTCAGTACCATGAGTTGCAGGAGGGACAAGAGGGAGGGCAGGTTGTCAGAAGTTGAAACTCTTGTGTGCCTGCCATGTTCATACTCAGGTCATAGCTGACAGAAAAATAGAAGAGGATTGAGAACCGAGTCTGTGTACTCAGATGTGAATTCCAAGACCTTAACCTGTCCTCTGGTTTTCTTCCTTGCTGGAGATTTATACAGATGCTCCTTACGTGCCCAGTCTGAAGAGCAGATGTTTTTTTGAGATGGAGTCTTGCTCTGTCACCCAGGGTGGAGTACAGATAAAAGCAGAATTTCTAATGGAGGTGTCAACTATGCTGAAAACAAGGCAGGCCACGGATTTTTCTTTGCGTGGCTTCTAGGCACTTTTTGCAGAGTTTCATTCACAACAATGAGGAGATGTTTGATGGGACAAACTCCTTCTTCTCTTTGGAAAAAGAGCAGGTGCACTGCACCAGCAACCACAGTCAGCACCAGGCTGTGGTGAGAACAGCCACAGAGGAGTCTCTGCAGACAGAAACTCAAGAAGACCAGGACAGACCCAGGACCCAGACTCAAGTATGAAAACTTCCTGGGCTCTGTCCTAATGCCTTGCCATGAGTGACCCATAGTCCTGTTCCAGTGGAATCTGGCTTTATTAGTCTTAGTGGCAACTTGGTTAGATGGAAAGTCTCTGTTCACACACTTGTGTGAATAACAGAGTAAAGGCTTTTGTGTTGTTTTCACTTTACATTAGGCCATATTTATGCATGTGACTGCAGTCTGTATTAACTTCCCGCCCCAGGTACCTCCTGCAGCATGCAGCTTCCTTCCTACCAGATGCTCAAAACTTAAAAGCTAACACTATACTAGGAAAATTTTTGCATAAAATGGAGAAAGTGTAACACACACAAAAAAGATTAAACTACTCTATGCATGTTCCTGCAATGCGTCATCTCAACAACTCATCCTTGTAGCCCATCAGGGCAGGAGCTGGACCCTCACCTTTTCATAATGCATAAGGGAGGTTCTTCCCCAGTGTTTAGCTTTATGATGCTGATGCATCCTGACATAAGGACATCCTACTTTCATTTCCATCATACTGCAGGAAATATCTGTGAGTGTCCTAATAACATGGAATTATTTGCTAGGGCAACCCTATTCTTCGTGCACACTTTTCTGTTCTCTTATAATTAGCTTTATTCTAAGCAAATCCATGTCTATTTTATTTATGTATTTATTTACTTATTTTTAGTATGGAAAAACATATATATATATATGTTTATATATATATATATATATTCTATTTATTTACAGACAGGGTCTCCTTCTCTCACCCAACCACAGTGGTAGAGTGGTGTAATCATGGCTCATTTCAGCCTCAAGATCTTAGGCTCAAATAATCCCCTCGCCTCAGCTTCCTGTGCCACCATGCCTGGCTAGCTGATTTTAACTTTTTTATAGAGAAGGAGCCTTGTTATGCTGCCCAGAGTGGTCTCAAACTCCTGGGCCCAAGCGATTCCCAAAGCACTGGGATTAAAGGCATAAGCCACTGTGGTGAGCTGTGCCTACTTTAAAAGATTGAAAATAAAAAATCAATAACTCTTTGCCAAATTAAAAAAACAACAACAAAAAACCCAATAGTTTCCAGGTCTTAGATAAAGACAATTCTGTGTCATAAAGAATAACAAAGACTTATTTAGCTGTTCAAATGATTGACATATATTTAAAAGCAGCAGAGATAAAAGGCACATATAAAAGTTTTCCAGGCCATGCATGGTGGCTCATACCTGTAATTCCAGCATTTGGGTAGGCCAAGACAGGAGGATCTCTTGAAGCCAAATGTTTGAGTCCAGTACAAGCAACATGGTGAGACTCTGTCACTACAAAAACTAAAAATAAAGTTGGCCAGGCAAGGTGGTACGTCTTTAATCTCAGCACTTTGGGAAGCTGAAGAGGGTAGATAACGAGGTGAGAAGTTCAAGACCACCCTGGTCAACATGGTGAAATCCTGTCTCTACTAAAAAATAAAAATAAAAAAAAAATAATAAATTTGCCAGGTGGGATGTTGTGTGCCTGTAATCTCAGCTACTCAGGAGGCTAGGCAGGAGAATTGCTTGAACCTGGTAGGTGGAGATTGCAGTGAACTAAGATCATGCCACTGCACTCTAGCCTGGGCCACAGAGCAAGACTCTGTCTCAAATAAACCAATAAATAAAGTTAGCCAGGCACAGTGGTGAATGCCTATAGTTACAGGTAATTGAGAGTCTGAGGCAGGAGGACTGCTCAAGTCCAAGAGTTTAAGGTTACAGTGAGCTATGATTATCCCATTGTGCTTCAGACTAAGCAAAAGAGTGAGACTCTGTCTTATAAGAGACTACAGCCTCTCATTTGTAATTTGTGTTTGCTTCTGCAAAAACCAAGTCTAGACTCATGGTCTTGAACTATGGGACATCTGAATTCCAGTAAGTGTTAGATTCAGGCAACTGAGGGGTAGCCTTGTGCACACTGTGTGCATGTGAAAAAAGGGTTTGTGGGGAACTAAACGGCAAAAGAGGGGAAAGTGCCATTAAGAACCCACAAGTGGCAGACAGTACAGGGCTGGTGGAAAGACTGGTTCATGCTACAGATACTGACCCAGGTGTGGCTTTGCTCTTATTTCTGTGTCCATGCAGGAAAATGAGATTATAATCAGGTGACACAGAAGCCTGGGTTGATTAAAAAAAAAAAAAAAAAAAAAAAAACAGGTTGCCGCTGCAGATTCAGTGTCTGAGGTAGAGCATATGCCAGGAGTCTTGTAGGCACTTGTGTGGTGGGAAAGTCTAGGAGGAAAGATACTGTGAGCAAAAATCTTGATGGTGAAGCCTTGTCCTGGGAGGGGCTTGACCACATCAACATTCACTGGGTACATTCAGAGGGAGTGAAAACCATGTGGTGGATGCAGGTTGGCAGGAGGGCAGAGGGCATCTGTTTTCAGAACTTCTTCCCTCAAAGTCTTCAGTCCTTCTCACCCTGGGAGGACACCTGGATCACAGGGCAATGCATGATGTAGCAGCCTGTGTGCAGAGCAGAGCCTACCTTCCCTGAGACACATGGAGTCTCTCTCCAGCCCAGGCCCCAGCAATGTCTTTCTTCTTACAACACTTTTGACACCAAATGTGTAAAGTTTCCTTAAAATCAACTGATTCTCCAACACCCACTTGTTGCCCAAAAATTCAATGCTGACACAACTTGGAGTTTGCAGGGACCTCACAAATTCAGGGCTCATATCACCGCTCTCCCTACAGAGGTGAGTCACATGTCCCAGAAGCCTATCTATACTTTTGAGCTATTACCTGTAAATCTGAGACTCCTATAAACTTCTCTTCAGGTTAAATAATTTGATAGGACTATTTAAAAAAACCTCAACAAATAACTCTAATTGTATTTACCAGTTTATTATAAAAATACAGCTCACAAACAGACAAATGGAAGAGATGTCTAGGGCAAGGAACAATTGTGGGGGATGGTAGTCCTGGAAACAGCTGTAATTAAAGAAATTCCCACATCCCTTTTGTTCTCCAAGAGCAGCTTAATGAAGAGAAAGTGCTTCTCATTATGACTTAGAGGGTGCTCCCCACTCCTTTCTTTTTTTTTAACCTATCACAAACATGGACACTTTTAACAATAAACAACCAGGTCAGTAATTTAGTCTTCAGTGGTCAAAACAGAGTACTTCTTAACAATACTTTGCTTGTTTCTCTTCTACCCACCAGCCCCTGAGCTGTGACCCACCCACAGCCTGAGGCAGCCTACAACCCCTATTTATACATACCTCTCCTGAGAACAGGCTGACTTCAAGGTGAAACATTCTCTTGTCTGGGATGTGATTTTGCTACCCTCCATCCTGTGCTTCCTTTTCAACTTTTTTTTGGAAACTTGTTTCCTCCTCCCTGTGAAATAAAGCTCTTTTCCACCTGATGTTTGAGATCCTCAAAGATCTTATCATTTGTACTTTTTGTTGTTGTTGTAATACTTCTTAAGTAACTTCTTCTGTAAGTCCTAATTAGTTTTATTTGACAAAGTCTAGAACAGTCTCAGAACAGTAACAATTTTATTTTAGAAAGAACCTCCCAGCATTTATTCTATCTCAACCCCAACTGCATCTGCCTACGAGTTTCCAGATTACCAAGGCTCTATGTCTTCCGGCAGTGATAAAGGCTCCTTCCATGGTTGGCGTGAGCAGGCTGGGTGGGACACCTGCAGGGCAGACCTTCAGGGAGAATTAACTGGGCCTTCAATGACCCACTTTGGCAGGCTGAAGATTGGCCTGAGCTTTTAGTCAATGGTCTAAGACTTCTACTACCCAGTTAGGGTCATTCACTGAATTTTCGATTTAAAAAATTCTTCATGTTTAAAGAATCTAGCAAAAATTATTCAAATCTAAGATTTAAAAGAAAGAAAATTACAAAGGGCTTACATTTTATACCACAAGAGGAAACATCAAAGTATTCCTTTTGAAAATAAACATATAATGTAATTATTTCTATAACAAATCATTTAGTAAACAATTATATGTGAACACTGCCAGGAGGTGCCAAGTCTCAGCTCCTAAAACTTAGCAGTACCCTCAAACATCTGGATAGCAGCATACATAGCAGAGATAGTCACTTTCACAAGTTCTCTATTTTGAAAAAAAGAACAACTGATATTGTGATAAATTTATATAATTTGACAATTACTCTACTGCACGTGCTTGTGGATATGTATTCATTTTGTACCCCCATAGTGGAAAGAGGCTATCTCTATCTTTACGCCTGGTGGCGCTTTCAACACTAAGCTCTTAGATTCTGCTTGAAATCACCTCTCAACAAACAAAACAAACTTGGAAAACTTACTGCACTCATTCTGCTAAAGAAATAGGTAAGTAAGAATTTTTAACAAATAGAATATATTACGACTTACTTTTTTTCAAAATTCATCAACTTAATGTACTTTGTAAATATTATCTTACTTTTCAAGCTCTACTGATAAAATGTAATTTACAGTTAATTAAAAACTGAAGTTAAGTACAAAATTTGTTTTAAGGTGACAAAATTAGGAGGTGACAATGCTAATTGAAACACAGGCATATCTGACTCAACTGTCAAGTCAAGACATTCTATCACTTGGAACATTTTCCCTGCTCCCATTTGGCTTGGTGAAGTGGGTCATGTCCGTTTAACCAAGAGCCACTCTGCTGTTCTCCGGTGTCGCTGAGTTGCATTTTGCTTTGCAGGTTTTTGCACTGCCTCATGGAATTGCATTTTTCTTGTCCTTTGAAATATTTTCAACTGGGCGCTGTGGCTCACACCTGTAATCCTAGCACTTTGGGAGACTGAGGTGTGTGGATCACCTGAGGTCAGGAGTTCAAGACCAGCCTGGCCATCATGGTGAAACCCCACCTTAAAAAAAATAAATTAAAAAAATAAATTTTTTTAAAAAAGAAATATTTTATCTCCCTTCACCAATCTAAGAAAATGTTTTCCTCAATACCAGCATTCAATTGCCTGGCTAGCAATGTGTCTCTAAGGAACGGAAAATAAGAGTTAGGGTAAGAAAATCTTAATGTCCTAATGGGTTTGCTTTTAGAGGAAGGGTATACCTGAAGATTGCTTCCAGGCAAAATGCATTGAACCGATCCACAAACAGGCTGCATTCCCATACCTTGGGCTGTTTCCTGAGAGGAGATGACCGAAGGGATGGAATTTAGCAGGCACTTCAGGAGGAATGACCACTGTTGGCATCTTGGGAAATCCTCAGTTTTAAAACTCAAAACCAGGAAAATAACACAGGATAGCTGAGGATGTATTGCCCTGTGAACTTTCCAGAGTAAAACCTCAATCCAAAGACATTCTGAGGAGGTGTCTGTGCCAACTGAAGATTAAAGGAAGACACACGAAGGTTTTCTGTTTTGTTTTATTCTTTTTCTTTCTTTTGTTTTTTAACAGTGGAATGTCAGGGGATCATTCTTTGCTTTCATCTCCTGTAAAATGTTCACAAATAAAAATATCTTTTTTTAAAAGTGCCATCCACTGCTCTTTGAAATAATGATGAATTAAAATACTGTGTCTGAAATGTATGATAAAGAACAGTTGATCATGTTGTCAATGACAAAGGGGTAGTTGGTGTTGGTGCATATCAGGAAAGAACTGGAAATTTAAAATCTGACTGCAAGCCAGAGTTTGGCTGGGGTAACAGGGTGGTAGATTTGAGGCACTGCTTGCCACGCATTTGGAAAATGCAGGAGAAAACTAGTTATCTTTTGGAGTGTTACAATAACTAAAAAATAGGCAATTGAATTGAAGTGGCTCTAGTGTCCTGAGCTCTGCTGGAGTGACAGATGAAGGACCCCCCAGATCCAAAAAGCTACCCCCTCTTCTCCTGTTGTGCACCTGATTAGATAGTTCTCACTCCAGCACCCATGATTAGATATAGTTCAGTGCCCTGCCCCGCCCCCTCAGGCCATGAGTGACAGATGTGATTTGACACTGGGTTGAATAAAGCAAGAATTATAGGCTTTTCCTGGATTATCTTCTGGCAGGGCTTGCTCTGCGCACTGGAAACTGTCCCTGCCTGTAAAAGATTTGCATTTACATTTGCATGTAAGGTTATCTTTATTTATGAATTCTACATATGTGTTATTCATAAATGCAAGCAGTATGATGACAGTTATTTTCCAATTTCAAATTTTATTACTTTCTTGGCATCCTGCATTTAGAGCAGGCAGCCTGAGATTTCAAAAGGGAGGCACTTCTCTAAGAAATAATATGGGAGGCACATATGAATTTTAAATTTTCTACTACCTACATTTTAATAAAGACACCAGGCATGGTGGCCTGTGCCTGTAGTTTGAGCTATTGGGGAGGCTGAGGTGAGAGGATTGCTTAAGGCCAGGAGTTTGGGACCAGCCCTGGCAACATAGTGAGACCAATTTCTACAAAAAAAAATTTTTTTTTTAATTAGCCAGGCCTGTTGGTGCATGCCTTCAGTCCTCAGGCTACTCAGAAGGCTGCAGCTGGAGGAGCACTTGAGCATGGAAGGTCAAGGCTGCAGTGAGCCATGATCACACCACGCACTCCAGCCTGGCTGACAGAGCAAAACCCCAACTCAGAAAACATCTCTGGTGAAGGCATTTTCTTTTTCTGCAATGTAGCCAAACAGCTAAGTATATCTTAAAGTCATCTTTTTAATTTTTAACAGGGCAAGAATGTTTTATAAAACCCCAATCTCCAAGGTTGCGATGGGGCAAATCCTGAAGCATACATGGAAATCCCTGACAGCTAAAGCACCCCTCACCCCATCCAGTGCTTCTTACCCCTGGTGCATGAGAATCACTTTCGGGAAGGGAAACTTTCAAAATCCCTTAAGCCCAAGTTGTGACAGAGCAATTAGATCAAAATCCGTGGAGTTAGATCCAAAAAAATAAGATGGTTTAAAGTTTTCCGGGTGATTATAATGTGTAACCAAGCCACAAAACCACGGTTTTAACCAGCAGCTTTTGTTATAAATTATTTCTCAAATGAATGTAAAAACGTTTGCTGCTGAATTGTGACCTTACAGTCTTACGTGCATTTCCTACTAAATATTCTTTGCAGACCCAACCTCTGCTACTCGTTCTGTTTCTGATTCACCCAGTTTTGTGTGTGCTCAGTGCATCCTGTGCACAGGTGCTGTGTGTGTGTCCTGGCCTGGGGAGCATCATTCTCAGGGGAGAACCTTGCTGAAAACAAAGCTGCATTCCAAAAAGTTAAAACCATGTTATTTACTGGAATGAGGTAAAAATTAAAAGACCTAGCTGGCTCACCCAAAGGTTAAAACATAAATAAATAACTTGGAACATTAATATACACCTGATGATGTCCTGGGCAAATATGTTCCACTTTAAAATAAAACATTACTATTATTCTAAAATATTAATTTAGGATTATTATGCACTTATGTACTATTTAAATTTTTATTGATATATAACATGTATACAGAAATATATGCACAAAACATTTATGGAACACTTGATGAATTATTACAAAATAAATACACTTGTGTAACCAAGAAATCGCATTAGACTTGTTCGTGCCCCCGACACTTTCTTTTCTTCTTCCCAAAGGTAACAAAGATCTTAAAAGCCAAGTGTAGATCAACTTGGTCTTTTTATTTTGGAGACGGAGTCTTGCTCTGTTGCCCAGGCTGGAGTCAGTGCAGTAGCGTGATCTCAGCTCACTGCAATTTCTGCCTCCTGGGTTCAAGAAATTCCCGTCTCAGCCTCCTGAGTAGCTGGGATTACAGGTGCCCACCACTACACCCTGGCTAATTTTTGTATTTTTAGTAGAGATGCGGTTTGACTATCGCCCCCACCTCAACCTCCCAAAGTGCTGGGTTTACAGGTGTGTGCCACCACACCCGGCCTGTACAAGTGTTTTATTACAGAATGTTAAAAAATACACAAAATACAAAAAAAAGTGTAGCAGACCCATCACCCAGCTTCAATAGCTACTAGTCATGTGTCATTTTTGTTTCATTTATACTTCCAGCCATTCCCCTCAGTTTTATAAGATTTTAGGTTTTCTGAATAAAATCTATATTCATTGCAACGTACAATCTGAACTGTACGTTTTTGACAAATGAATACACTCATATAAACTTTTCCCCTTTTAGGAATAAAATTACAACACTTAGCAATCATTAATGTGCATATAAGTTACCTCAAAGTATTATTTAAAATCTAGATTTGTATTTAATAGGTCTGAGTTTTGACTGAGAATTCATATTTCTAACAAAACACAAATCCATAGGGCACATGACAACTGCAATGTCTATTTATTTACAGTAAATACAATTTGATGAATAAAATTAAAGGCAATTGACCTAAGGCAAAAAAAAAAAAAAAAGAAAAAGCATTAGTGCTACATGTTATCTGTAGGAGCATTTGGTTAATAATAACAAATTAAACAATTTTATTGTTTTAATAACCAAAATTGGTAAAATTTCTACAATGTTTTTCATAGAAATGCTCTTTGCCAGAAAAAAATTTCATATAATGAGAGCAAAAATGGCAAACATTTGCAGGTAAATTTCTTATGAAATTAAGTAGCAGATATTTTTTCAAGCCCATGGCCTTCAGATTATTACCCAAAACTCAATCATTTACATAGAAAGTGCAAATAATTTTCACAGCTTCCTATTAAAATTATATTTTAATGCCCTTTCAAATTATAACTGTTTTTAAATAAAGTTCATTATAATTTTGTATATGACATATGGTAAGTTCTCCTTAAAGTCACCTTAAATTTACTTAATTGTATTAGGCAGTGTCTGTCTACCATCCAGTATTATTTGGGGATCCTCCCTCCATTTGCACAGGCATCATAGCTGGGGAAACAGGGATTCACAGAACACAGGCTGTTCCCTGCACATTTTTCCTCCTCAGATATCAGTTCATCTGTCAACCAACTGATGTGAGAGTTGAGGCCATGTGTTCCCTATTATTCCTGGGCACTCTCCTCAGAGGAAGAAAGGGTCAGGAAGTCCTGTTAGGGGATGCCTGCTAACAGGCTAATCTCCCTAAGCTGTGAGAGCTCTAGTCATCAGGTGCAGACTTTTCAGGAGAGAGAAATGAGGCAGGCATTCTGAACCTGAAGCTTCATCACATTTTGTTCATCTCAAGATAGTTTTGACAGGCTGTTTTGGAACATGTCTGGAAGGTGAACTCTGAAGAAGAGCATGTACTTTGATGTGACTCAGATGAGGTCTTTCATGGGGATCAGGAATTCAATGCCCAGTATCTGAGCTGGTGTCTTTGAGGTCAGTAGGTTGCCTCTTTGTATCAAGTCCATTGTTACCAGGCAGTAGGCTGGAGATTCTGAATGGCTTCCAGAACCCCTCTCTGATTCTCTTTGGGAGATGGGGTCTGAAAAAGACAAAGTCAGTATTTTTGGGAAATTCTAGAAAGTCTGGTTGGAAACCTGGGAAGACCTCTTGCCTAATGCCTAAATGCCCAATTTTCAGCGCTAGCCATATAGATGCCTGGTAGGCATAGAGCTGGGTTTGCGTTTATATCAGCACAATGTATGTCAGAGTTGAAGAACAGCCAGGACAAAGTGTCTTGGTCACAGGCTGGGGAACATCTTAAAAGCAAACTTCTAGCCTGCTGATTTTCATCTTGGCAGTGAGTGTTGGGTCCTGGCCAAAGTGCTTGAATGCAGCATGAGTCCAATCCATAAATACACCTTCGAATGGAGAAATGTTTGTATCTTTTCAGTTTGATGCAATCAAGGTGCAATTACCATGCTATTGGTTTGTTTACTTTTTATTATTTAATATCAAATCTAAGACACAATACATTAAATGCTTATTGATATGTGTATTTGTTCTTCACTAGCCTCATAGTATCTGCCTAATTTTAATCCTTCTTCCATTTTGTAGGTTTCAACTTATTTTATTGTAGAATATTAAATCTAATACAGACATTGTCATTTTTACATATAATTTTCTTTTATTTAAAATATTTTCTATTGGCATTTTACCTTAAATTTTGGACTATTTTATCATATAAATAGCTTCATTTCTATTTAGAAGATAAAAGTATTTGGGTTTCTTGTCTTGTAATTTTTATATTACTTAGTAATGAGATAACCATTAATGTTTTCAGGTATTTTAAATTTTAGATAATGACTCATTATATCCATGTGAAGTTTGTTTTTGCTGCATATGTGGGTTGGAGAGCTGTTTTCACTTCTGCTGCATCTTTACTCTGATCTCCCCAGAACTCATAGCTCTTGTAGTTGGGAAAGAGCAGGTCACCATTCCAATAAATAGGACAAATTCCATAATAACACACTACAATTGAGTTTGAAAGCAGGACATGTCTTCAACGCATAAACGACATGAGCCTACATATGTACAACAAAGCAATGTATAAGTTACAGTTTGGATGGAAAAGAAAAGCACCAAAAATTTGTTAAATTAAAATGGAGATCAGGTCTCAAGAATTTCTGAGCAGACAAAATCAGTTAGGTCTCATAAGTGATCTCAACCTTGCATGATTTGCAAATGTAAGCAAAACTTAAATTATTTCTTGTAGCTGCCTATTTAAAACACAGAAATGAAGCTCAACTAATCAGGAGTAGCCAGCAACCTTATATAAATAGGAACTGGCCTACAAGGTTAAAAAAAAAAAAAACAACCAAACAAACAAGAAACAATTAAAAAATTTTGTACTACCACCAATCAAATGATTTCTTTGTTTCTCCATTTTTCCATTGGATACTTGCTTCTTCATGTTCTATGATTTATCCATTGCTCTTACTCAAATAAACACTTCACAATTTCATTGTGTCTCAAATTACTTTTTAGAATAATAAATAAACTAGGAATAAATATTACAAAAATGTGTACAGAATATGAGAAAACCATAGGAAGTTTATAAAATATATGAATGTAGACACAAGCAAATAGAAAATTTGTATCATATTCTTAGGCAGAAAAACTCAATATTATCAACATAAATTGTCCTTAAAGTATGTTATAAATTCAATTTTGTTTCAATAGAGATATCATTAGATATTGGAAGTAGGCATGTTACTATTAGATATTGTATAGATGAAAACACAAATAAGAATAACCAAAAAACAAAAAAAAGTCTCGCCAGCCCTGTGAAAAACCTTGATTGATTAAAAAAATTCGTAGTTCACTGAAACTAAAAATTCAGAAATAGACCAAAGGCCCTAAGAAAGTGTCATGGTGCATCCAGGCTGCTGTAACAAAATATTTTAGACAGAGTAAAGAATTAACAACAGAAATATATTTTTCACAGTTCTGGAGGCTGAAAGTGCAAGGTCAAAGCAGCAGCAAATTTGGTGTTTGGTGACAGCCCTGTTCCCCATAGCTGGTACATAACGCAAGGGACAAGGGCATTCCACATTCCCTTTAACCTCCTTTGAAAAGGCACTTATTCCATTTATGAAGATGAAGCACTCTTGGCTTAATCACTCCCTCAAAAGCCACATGCCTAATACTTTCCACATATGAATTTGAAAGGAGACCTAAACATTCAGGCCATAGCAATAATTTAGTAAGGAATAGAAGCTACATGAAGAATGGCATCATTAATACTTGAGGTGTAAAAATGTGATGCTCTTATCACAAAAATGATTCATTTTTCATGGCAAATAACAAAATAAAGGTCCAACGAAATTATATTTTTCATAAATATAAATATATATGGCAAAAAAATTAAGTGTTGATAAGGTTAATTCTACAGGTGGTATCAGGATTTTCTAGGTTTCTGGGAATGGGCAATGCCCCAGACTTTTCTCCTGTGACATTTTCCTGGAAGTTGCCAATTCTCTTATTCAATTTGAAATTAGATAAGAATGTTTGTTTCTATTTCAACATTTACTAAATTTAAAATAATGAAGGTCGATTTATGCATAATTCTCAAACAATTATTCATCAGTGGTGCTGTGCTGGGGAAGAGCACAGACTTTCACACCCACACATTTGTGATTTTTGGTCAAATAGATTTCTCCCTGTGCCAGAGTCATGTATGTTACACTTGATCAGAGACTTTCACAGGCAAGCATTGCTCTGCAGCCCTACCAGAGACTTAACCCTGAAAATCTGACTCAGAAGGTGATGGATAAATACCCACCCTAGTGTTCTGATAAACATAGATCCTTTCTTAATAATCCGTTACAGGGATCTGGACTCTTTCCTGAATTCATCTTGCCACACACAGCTAGACTTGAAAATTTGGACAGAGTTTTGATTCTCACTGGGACTCCTGCCCTGTCCTGCCAGCTTCTCTAGAAGTACACTTTTCTAATTGCTCCTGAGAGATTCCATCTAAGGTTATCTCTCTGGGTCAACATCATTGATCTCATAAAGTGGGATGAGAAATAATTAAGAATCCAGCTATGCTAGGGGCTGTTTCTAGGATTCCTTACCTCACTTATGCTTCTGATTTACCTAAATATTTACAAATACAGATTCATCTCTAGGTGGTAGAAAAACAGGAGAAATCCCAGTTCATAGAGGAAGACCTAAGTGTTTCCAGATTGGCTCAAACTTAGTTTGACAGGAGTTCTGTGGCAAGCTCTTAGCTGACTCTAAAATCAATGTGACCAGTAGTAGTGTCAGGATGGCTATGGGTCCAAAAGTCCAAAGAACATCTCTAGGTGGAGGCTAATCCTTTACTGAAGGCTTTAAAAGTCAAAATCAAGATTTCATTGGCCTCAGGATGAATTGTTCAATGCAAATCTTCCCAAATATTTTTATTTACTTATTTATTTATTTATTGTTTTCTTATTTCTTTTCTTTCCCCAAATATTTTTACTAAACCTTAACTGGAAAGTAAGACTCTAGATTTTTTAACCCTTACAAAAAATAAATTTCTGATTTTTTCACCTGGGATCTATGTATGTGTGTTGGAGCATGCCTTTACCAATCAGCATGAACTTACAACTCCCCTTGTGCTTCTACATTCTACTTGTGCAGAGTTTCAAATACAGAGGTGAGAGCTTAGGGTTTCCTGGTCTTTTGCTAAGCATGACTCTGAGCATCCCCATTTCCTTCTAGATCCCCATTTCCTTCTATTATTAGGAGTATTACCCGAGTCCTAATTTCCAGCAGCTTTTCCTCCTGGAGCTTTTCAGTATGATTATTTTTAGGACCAACTGATATCTTTGTTCCTAGTGGACTGGGTAGTTTGTTTCAATGTAAATGCTTTTACAAACATCTCAAGCTATTAATTTAAGTTTTCTCTTCTTTTTAAATGAAGTAATTCTGCTGTTAGCGTTCTTCAAAACTTGAGGGTTATAAAAAAAAGAAAGACAATAAATATTTCATACAAATAGTATAAAAAGAGACTGGGGATGACTATATTAATAGCAGACAAAATACATTAAAAAGTTACAAGAGAAAATATGACATTATATACTCATAAAATGTTCATTTGGCAAGAAGATAGAAATATTTTAAACAATTACATACCTAATAACAAAACATTAAGATATAGAAAGGATAAGTTGATAGAATTAAAGGGACAAATAGACAGTTCTAAAATAATAGTTGAAGATGTCAATACTCCCCACTCAGAGTAATGAATAGAATAACGAGATAGATGACAAATTAGAGAGACTGACTAACACAATAAACCAAACTGATTACAGATATATACAAGACACTCCAACAGCAAGAGAGTACACACTCTTCTCAAATGCATATGTGGAATTCTTCAGGATGGGTTGTATATTAGATCTAAAATTAAATCAGCAACAGAAGAAAAGCTAGGAAATTTGCAAACTTGTGTAAATTAAACAACATACTCTTAAACAACCAATAAGTAAAAGAAGAAATCACAAGGGAAGTAGGAAAATACTTACAGTGGAAGAAAAATGAAAACACAACATATCAAAAGTTATGGGAAACAGCAAAAACAGTGCTAAGATAAAAATTCTGCAGCTAAAAAACATTTAAAAAGTATGAAGATCTTAATAATAACTGTGTCACCTAGCAATTCAGAAAAATAATACCAAATTAGATGCAAAGCAAAGAAAAAAAAAAGTAAATAATAAAGATGTTAGCAGAGATAAATGAAATAGAGATTATGCAAACAACAGAATACCAAGAAACCAAAAGCTAGTTCTGAGTTCTTCAGAAAAAGAATTAACAATTGGCAAACCCTCAGCTATACTAAAAAAAAATCAGAGTATTTGCATACTAAAAAGAGAAAAATGAGATATTAATATTAATTCTAAAGGATTAGAATGTTTTTAAAATTGTACTATGAGTATGAGAGGACAATAAATTGGAAAATCTAGATTAAATGGGCAGATTTCTACATATATAAGACTTGATCACAAAGAAATACAAAATCTGAATATACCTACAACTATTAAGGAAATGGAATCAGTCATTAAAAACTCCTTGATGAAGAAAAGCCCTTGTTTTGTTGGCTTCACTAGTAAATTATATGAAGCACTTATAGAACAAAAATTCTTTCCAAACTCTACCAAAAAACTGAAGAGAACAGCTCCAAACTTATTCCATGATGCCAGCATTACCTAATACCAAAGCCAAAGACGCTATAGAAACCCACAACCAAGATCCCTTATGAACACATATGCAAAACTACTCAGCCAAATCCTAGCTAACCACATTCAGCAGCATACTAGCAAGATTACACCCCAATGACCAAAGAGAATTTATTATTGGAATGCAAGAAAGTTTTAGCATATGACTGGTTTCTGTGCAGTGGTATTTACAACTAATTGATTGCAACCAGTTACAGATTTCTTTATCCCTTCTCCATTCCCACTGCTTCGCTTAGCTAGCCTTTCTTAACAAAAGTTTTAGCATATGAAAATTAATCAATGCATATACCACATTAACAAATTTTTTTAAAAAAATCTCATTAATACAGAAGAAGTATTTTACAAAATTAAAAATATTTTTATAATAAATTAGGAATTTATTGTGTTAAAAAGAAATAAAAGGAAACCATCTTTGTAAAATTCACATATAAAAACCCACAGCAAACAACATATTCCAGAGGAAAAGACCGAAAGTCTTTTTTCTAAGCTCAGAGGGAAGGCAAGAATGTCTGCTCTTGCCACTTTTATTCAACACAGTATTAGAAGTTCCAGTCAGAAAAATTAAAAAAGAGAAATAAACTGCATCAAAATATGTACAGAAAATATATCCTTATATGTAGAAAATTTTAAAGATTCCACACAAAAACTATTACAACTAACAAATTTGGCAGAGTAGTAGCATACAAAATCAACATAGAAAAATAAATTGTATTTTTATACAGTAATATAAATAATCTGAGAAGAAAACTATAAAAATAACTTAAATAGCAATAGCATAAAAATAATAAAGTACTTAGGAAGTAACCAAAAAGTAAAATTCCAATGACTTAGCATAGACATTAAAAATAAATCCA